AGTGTTTGAAGCTCACCCTCCAAAACCATCACCGTCGTATTGTACTCCCTCATGCGCAAAGTTTATCATCGCAACGATCTACACTTCCATAATAGTTTTCAATCTAAACCAACAATTTACACGTAACTCTTTCATTCAAGTGCACAGTTTATTCAATGAGGTATCTCTCAATCATTCATTTCTGTTGCAAAAAGGGTAGATGAAAGAAAGCTAAAGCTTCAAAGAAGAACAAAGCAGGAATTGCTTGACATCACCGTATTCAACGCAACAACACTGTTCACGCACCAATTTCAACAACAATAACATTACTCAACTCACTTCCGACATATTCACGACATTTCCAACAACGATTCGACGATGGTAACATTTTGAAATAAGCTTTTCTGTTGCATTTTGGTTTTTTGCTCCGGTTTCGATTCAGTCTATATTATGTAGTTGCTGAAGTTGTGCGTTGATTATTTTGGTTATGTTGTTGATTTCAGATGTGTTGATATTTTGAATGATGTTTTAATTTTGAAATAACTTAATAAATGTAATACTATATTGAATTGTTGCTGTTGTTATTCGTGTTACCGGTTATGTTACGGTTAATGCTATGATGTTGTTGTGATCAACTCATGTCATCAATTTTGTTACGGTAACACGTTTTTATTTTTTTTGGTTTCTTGATGTGAAAATTAATCTTTGTGTCTTTGTTGATTTTGTTTCAAATTTGAACATTGTAGTATGTTGAACATTGCGAATATCATATTATGTTGTTGCTGTTTGATTTTTATTGCGTTTAAAATCGGACTTTGATCCGCATATTCGAAAATTTTATGTCGTTATGCCACTGAAATGTTGATATACTTATATGATATTTTTCCCGCGTGTTGAGTTTTGTGTACGACATTCCATTCATGTTGCAATTACGCACAAACCGACTTTGAGCATATTTCTATTTTATTTCGAATCTATTTCCATTTCATTTCGAAAATCAATAAATCATTTTCAATTAAGATCACTTTATTTTAGTTTATAAAATTAGTTGATAAATTTTTGTTAATTAATTAGTTTCTTTAATTAAACTTAATTAACTCGATTATTTTGATATAATTAATTTTTTATCACTTAATCTTGATGATTATTTTTAATTATCTTAACTAATTAATTAAATTAAATATTAATTAATTAATTTTATTTTTATTTGATTCCTTAATCATGTATTGCTAATCATGGTTTAATTATGCATTTGAGATCAAATTTGCAATTAAGTGATAAGATGACTTAAAATGAACTTCTAAAAAAAAAAAAACTTTGGTCCAATGCCAAGTGGGCTTTTTAGACAACCATGGTTCAACGCCAAGTGATTCTTTTAAAACTCGATTTATTTCACATAAACGCGGTTCAAATCTTTTTCCGTTTAAATGTAACATTAAAACTCTTTTCTTAACAAATGCGAAAGAAACGGATCCTTGGAGTCTCACATTCCTTGAATCCTTGAATGATCGGTCCCGAGACATGCGTCTTGGGCTAGCCATTTGTTTATTCTTTCGTTTCTAAAAAACTTAATGCAAACTGGGACAAAAAGAGGGAATGTTGAAGTCTAGCATTCCGGTGGAACCTTTAAACAATAAATTATGAGACTAATGTCTTATTTTTATTGAATATTCAATGTCCATCAAAAAAAATTCATAACACATTGAATGAAAAAATATTGTTGGAGTCTAGCATTCTAATAATACCCAGAATAATTGGTTCTGAGGCTCACGTCTCGTTCTCACCGAGCATTCGTCAGTCACTTAAAAATACTCAACACATCAAACTTATTTTCTCGCCCCCGTGCGATCGGAACCCATTTCTTTTTTACAAATGTGCATTGTCTAATCCTTTCTAATGCATATACAAACTAGTGCTTAGGCCTCCCTCGCGAGCGTGCAAGCCAATGTTTAACTGTTATAATGTGATCTAAATATTTGTTCATTGAAACAAACTTCAAGTAATCAAACCTATTTTTTCTATCCCCGCGCGATTGAAAGTCTTTTAACAAACGAACAATGTTTAGTCCTTTCTAAAGCGTATACAAACAAGCGTTTATGCATCCCATGCGCGAGCATACAACAATGTTTAAACTTCTAGAACACAATCAAATATGATCCTTTCTACCACAACCGTAAAGAAAACTAACGTTAAGTCTCCCATGCGTGATCATACAAGCCAATGTTTAACCGTTTGAATGCGACCTAAACATTTGTTCTCTAAAATTAATAAACCAACACTTATTTGCTACCAAAAACTACATAGTTTTGAGTTCTTTATTGCACCTGGAGATGCGTAAGAGCGAAATTCACGTCTCGTCAAGCATTATAACAAAATACACCAAAAATATCTTTTGTCTTACTCAAAATTGCGTAGCTTTGAATTCCTCATTGTGCCTAAGGATACGTAGGAGCAAGATCCGCAATCTTGTCAAGCACGTTAATAACTTTTTTTTTACAACTCCTTTCTTTTTTTCTTTTCTCTTTTATCATTCGAAGAAAACAATTGATATAAGTTAACATTCAATTGTAAGTTGAACTAAAAGGTTCCCGTTTAGCACAACAGAGATAAGGAGTTCTAATACCTTCCCCTTACGTAATCGACTCCCGAACTTGAATTTGGTTGTGACGAACATCTTCATTTTCCTTTTTAAGGGTTTTATCGATGTTTTCCTTTTCCTTCATTGAAATAAATAAAGTTCAGTGGCGACTTTATTCAAATCATTTTTTTCGCGAGTGCGTGATGCGCTTTATGAAGGCTCATATTTTTTTAGGTACGACATCTAGACCTTGCACAACAAGTCAGACATGCTGCATTTTTGAAGAGTTTTTGGTCAAAGATTGAATAACATTTTATTGTCAAATGACTTACCAATATGATTAGGTGATTTATTTGACAACTGGACAAATATTTATTCAAATTTAAATGAAGATTAAAATTTGAATTTAAATTGAAATAAATCATATCTTGCTGGAGATATTTATGGAACAGATTGTATCCAATAGATTAAGCATTTAATTCTGGATGAAATTAAATCTTAAATTTATGAAGAAAAGCCCTTAATTATTATGCTATATAAGGAGCTCAAAACCTACATTGGAAGCCAAACATTCACATTGAAGATTTTAGAGTGCTAGAGTTTACAAGAGTCATTGTTATTTTATGTACACCATATTATGTTTCAGTAACTTAATATATAAGGTTTGTCTAATTGAGTTGTATATTCAACATATTTATGTACACATTTATGTTTCAGTAAATTGGCCTAGAAGGACTGTCTAGTTGAGTAAGTAGGTTTTCATGTTTAGACGAAGCCCTAAATGGAAAGTCATTCGATAACGTTAGGAAGAGGCATTGAAAAACATAAGGCTTGTTGTTACTTGTAAGACTAATTGTACTAAAATAGTGAATTCCTTTCTTGGGTTGAGGGGTCAACCCTCTAGGCGTAGGCGTGATTTCACCGAACTGGATAAACAACTATCGTGTTATTTACTGATTTTGTACTCCATCATCTAGTACTTGCTATTATGGTATTTCCTGCTTAACTTGTCAAACCAGTTGTCTAGGACATTGTGTTCGACATCTGCCCCCTGAGGAACAAAATTTCAATTAGCCTCAAAGAAGGCACCCTAGCATGTTGGGTATGCTCCAGAGAAGATAAATTCTTCTCAAATGGATACTATGAAAGATGGAGGGTCAATTAACAAATCACTTGTCTTAGATGAAACCAATTATGATTATTGGAAGACTATGACGATGGTCTTTCTAAAATCCATGGGAACAAAGCATGGAAAGTTGTGATAAAAGGATAAAAAATCGAGTGATCATTTTTAAAGATATAACTACGAGCTTAAAACTATAAAGATGAACTTAAAACCATAGATTTTTTTGTTTATATTTGAGATCGGGGGAAGTACTTCAAAAATGACACAAAAATTTAAATATTTTTAATAAATATAAAATGTTTTTTCTTATAAATCGTTATGGGGTAATACAATCGAAATCCTTAATTAAAAAAATATTTTAAAAAATATTTTTACACCCCATTTTACAATAAGTGTAACATTTTTTATTTTTCTCCATCTCAAAATAATCGCCAGTTAAAAATATAAATATAACAATTATTATTATTTTATCAATAATACAATCGTTTTTATCAAATTTTGCCCCATTTAATTTCTCAATTAACTACCATTAATAATAGTGTTTTAGTAAATACTAATACCAATAGTATTAGTTTTATCATAAAAAATCTATCAAATTAATCACTTTCTTAATGAACCACCCACAGTGTCAAATGTCACATTTAATATGAGATTGAAAAAATATTTCCATACTCCATTAAAAGATTAATGTTTCTCAAATATTCAATCATCAAAATAATTGTAAAGACAAAAGATTGAAGTTCATTTAACTAATAAATTTACCGTAATCATATAGTTACTGATAATTATTAATTTTCATCGGTAGTTATCTCTAAACTCGTACTCGTGTAGTATTGGTAACTAACTTTGATATTTACAACTTTTAAACTCTTAATTAACCAATTGACTTTGACAAAAGCAGTTATATATTTTTGCGAGTTAAAAAAAACGTGGGCTAATCAAATTCAAGTACTAATAATTATCATTATTAAATCAATTCTTCACCATCATAAATTATAAATAAAATAAAAAATCGAAAAGGAAAGAGAAAAAAAAGAAAAGAAGAAAGAGACGTTTTTTTTTCTCCACACAACGATTCTCGCTGGCACCATCGTTCCCATTGTTATCATAAAATCACAACAGATTCATTTCCGCTTTTCCCATTTTACCCTCTCCACAAAATCCGCTTCTGCTGCTATGTCATGTGGCGGTGCTGCTAACCCTCCCTCTCTCTTACGTGCACACGCGTAGATATATAGATATACGTATAGATACAGAGATCTCTTCTTCTCTGTGATAGTACAAAACCTTGTTTTCTTCCTTCAACGATTTCGTGCCATGGCGGGATTTGGTGGCGGCCATTGCTTCCCGTATCCGCTCTCCGCTGTCATTCCGCTGCTTGCTTTCGTTCATGTGTTTCTTGCTTTCATTGCCACTCTTCAGGTATTTTTAGGCATTTTCGGATTTTTATTTTGTTATCAATTTAGGTTTTTCTTTTTGTTTGATTGTTGGAGAATGATGGATTAAGAACTAGGTATATGAAAATGTAGAGAATTGTATGGACTGAATTCAGATTTTGTATCATGCATTTTGTAGATTTTGACTTTTTCCTTCTGATTATCAAATTCAATCACTTGATGTGTGTTTATTGTGTTTTTAATGCCCTAAAGACTTTGATAAACCATACAATTGAAATTATTTAATTAGTAAAACTAATTTATAATAAATATTTGATTAAATAAATCCTGTTTCAGTATTTAATCATTTTAGTTAATCATTAATATGGAAAAGGTGTGTTATCTTGAATGAGTAGTGGTTTGTGTTGGCATGGTGAAATTGTGAAGCATGGTTCGGTTTTTATGGTTAATTAACTCAATCTTAATTTGACTTCTTTACTTGAACAACTTGATTTCCATTCAGTTCAAGTCTCAAGTGTTTGAGATGGTAATTTATAAGATTAACTCTGAGAAACTGAGATTTGAGTTCATTGTACTCACTGTTAGTTTTTTATTTGGCTACTCCAGTTGTTGAGGATTCACTTGAGAAGTTCAGAGCATGGTTGGACTCGGCAAAAAGTAAGTGCAGTTTGCAGGCTACTATTATTTGGATTGCTACTATGACTTGATCTTTTATGAATGGGTGAACTTGTTTAGTTTGTAAATGTAATAATAACTAATAAGTGATTTGTGACTGGCCGCTACATACTGATTAATACTGTAGTCTCCCACTGCAGATAATTGTGCATTGGAATTATGTCTTTGCTATGCTATACCAATTATCCAGATTTGAGAGCCTTTTCAACTCAACATTCATTTTAAAATCAGGATATAAATCAATTGTCTTGTGTGTTTATAGTAAAAAGCTGGAAGAATATGCTTTTTTTCCTATTTAAGTAACTATCTGTTTGTTACTTTATAGACGGTAATATCACCCACCTTTTTTCTCTTTTTGCTACCTATGTGGGGTGTTGCATGTTTGTGTGTGTATCTTAATTGGTCAATGTATGCAACAAATTCTAGCCACATTGTAATGTTCATGTGTCTACAAAAGCTAATTTCAATGCTGGCCTGGCCTTATATTAAGAACGGGTAGACATGGGCTAACATATATGTAGCTGGGATTTGTAAATTGCACATAGGAATGTGCTACTTCTAGTACTTATTCTTTGAGCTTTTATGAGTCTATAAATTTTCTATTGGTATTTTGTTTTCTTGTCACTCATTACTCTAGGTGTACTACTTGCTACTACACCAGCTTCTGCTAAATTTAATAGATTCTCATGAATGTAAATATGATGGGTTGCAGGTGTTTCATCTATTGATTGGCTCTTCTAACTTGGGTTAGTTGTATTTACTTTTAATGTTCAAATCTATTTTATAGTGGTTAGCACGCCGCAAACTATATATCTTAGATCACAATTACTAATTTGTTATCGTTTCCTTTTTTTTAATAGTTAGATTGAGTCTTTTATTATTTCATTATTTTGCAACAATATGCGAGGCCATCCTGATATTTTGTCTATTAATTTATTGTTATATAATTAATATTGTTGTATAATTTATAAATGATTGAATTTAGATAGGTTTTGTTCACAACTGTGCCATAACGCGCTAGGATTACTAACTTCCCACCGTAGATGCCAATGGTTGGCAAGGCACGTCCTTCCACTGTAAACTGCAAATTTCTTTTATCCTTTCCCTTTAATTCAAAGCGCTACACAAGCTGAATCAGCCATGAATATGCATCATCTGCTTGTTAGATTGGGATTCGGAGATGTTCATCTGAGTTGTCTCTTTAAACTCGCAACCGCTTTCCCCAGCTCTTCAAGAATGTGCTTCTTTGTTCTTGTTAAACCTGGAACAGCTCTTTAATCCTTCCGCAGACACTCTTGGAAAATGGGTTGGGCTCAACCCTTACAAAACTGGTTTGAAAGTGAGGATGCCTTCCATTTATAAAACTCGTTTTAAAATCATATCTCTTCCAATGTGAGACTCTTTAACACACTATCCAAACCCCTTGAATACAGCCATAAACTTGCAAAGCTTCAAGAGTATGAACTTCCCTACACCCAAATGCCTCAATTCTCTCTCACAAATGACGAGTTTGATGCCCCTTCCAACCTGTTCCCATATTATAGATCACGGGCCTAATTTTTTTAATTTATCCCAACCAAACTAAGCAACTAGCTAGCGAACACCTAACATATTTCTTACTCATGCTTCTTCATTATCATAGTACTAAACTTGGTAAGTCTGACTTTTGACAATCTGTGCTCTGTTATGTCTGATAACATGTGTGGATTGCCTGCTTATCCGATTCTTCTATGTAGAAACACAACTCATTAATAACTACACGATACAGTTATTTTAGTTGCTTATCACAATACATCAGCAATAATAATTAATTTTGCCCATCCATCTTGTTTTCTCTTTGTCATCCGAACTTTTTAATTTCAAATTTCAGGTTACTTCATTTATTTGGCATTGATACTTCTTGCTTCTTGCAAGGGATGGACATATTGGTCACAGTCTTTTGGTTTCATTTTTATGGGTATGCCTCTGTTCTGTATCATCTAGACACCAGTGATAAGCTTTTATTGTTGGTTAAAATATTTAAACAGGTGAAAATTGTTTTGCAGCACTCCCCAAAGTACTTTTTTTTGCAGCATTTCTTCTTCTTTTATCCTTCTGGTATGTTACTTTGCTTGTTTTTGTTTTTTTGATAAGTACTTTGCTTATTGTTAAAATATTTAATTATTTTTCCTGACTAGCAGTGTTGGCTACACAATTGTTATAGAAAGTTGTTTACTTTGCTTTTTTTTTTTTTTTGATAAATACTTTACTTATTGTTAAAATATTTAATTATTTTTTACTGACTAGCAGTGTATATATCACAAACAAGCATGGCTTTTTTTTAGAATGACACGTGCATAAGTATATACGCACAGACATATAGGTTTTGTTTTCTTGAGTTGCCAGCAGAACAATCATTGTTTTGTTTTGGCATTTTGAGACTTTGAAGTAATATTGTGTTCTAATTTATTTTACTGGCACTTCTTGTTTTATACTATTTTTTATTGTGTCCACTATTTTTGTTAAACGATTGAACTGGACTCTTGAATCAGATCACATAAATTAGTATGATATGTATAATCTCTAAAGCAGAAATTGTATGTTAGACTCCAGCAAATAAATATTGTGCAATCAAAATTTTTAATTAGGTATTACATTGATTGCTGTCACAAAATAAAAACACTGACATTAATTTTCAATTTTTATTATTTCTATTTCTCTTTACAATGTCTTGTAAGGATAGCGATCCCTAGCGCTACAAAATGAATCAAAATTAGAGAATGACTAAAGTGATGTATCATAAAGCTTGATTATATTTTATGGTGGATAGGTGTGGTTTTGATATTGATTTTTTATAGTAAAAAAAGATTGGTTGTTTAAAACAAATTTTTAGCCGAAAGTTAAATATGTGAAAATTCAAGGCAGTCAATGAAGTTTGTTTTGGTGGGGGGGAAGGGTACTTTGTCTGTAGGAAGCTTAGTCCTCACTTTTGAATGCAATAATTGATCATCTAACTATACACGTCATCTGCTATCATTAACATTACACTGAAGTGCTTTCTTGAATGAGAATTGAGCAACACCTATAAATATGTATATCTAATATAATTTTAGGCTATTGTCTAAATATGTACTACTTTCTACGTTGTACTTGGGTTTGTTTTGCAGGGTTGACCTATGCCATCAGCCAAACGATGACGATGACTATGAAGGAAGTTTTTCTGAGGAACCTTTGCTGGGAAAGTCTCCATATGAGGCAAATTTAACAAACAGGGATAGACATAGAAAGTGTTTTCCTATTCGTTTTTCTCGTCTCGGACACCGTCAAAAGATTGTGTTTTTGGTATGAGAAACACAGAGCTCTGATTTTTGTCGTATCCATTAATTTTGACACATAAACTTCACTAAGTATTTCCTTCAAATACAATGACTTTGATATGATTTGCTAGGTTATGTTGCTAGTTCTCATCACCATAATGGCATTTGCTGTAATAATCTGGATCGGGCTAGGAAAGAATCGCATTGACTCTGAAGTAGCAGCTCGGGTATAGATGCTGTAACTTGTTCTGTTCTATATAATCCATAATGCATTAAAAAAATACTAAGATCTAAATGACATGCGGAGGATTTAGCATATGACAGAGTGCAGTGGCATTGATTGACTTTTGTAATCAGTCTCATCTAATGGAAAAAGTTTCTGGTAATGGTTGTTATTTATAATCTATGATGCCATGCACCATTCTGACTTTCTTAGTAACATGGCATATATTAGCATAAAAGTTCGCAATGATACTTGCTCTTTACTACTGTCTATTTCTTTTGTTATTCAAATAGAAAGTAAAAGATTGTTCTTATTCTTAGTAGCATGGCATATACTAGCATAGAAGTTGGCAATGGCTTTTTCTCTAAACTACTGCCTCTATTTCTTTTGTTCTTCAAATAGGAAGTAAAAGATTGTTCATTTATTATTTGTAATTAGAAAGCCTAAGTTTATATATACTATGTTAAGTAGCTTGTATTTGATTTTGATTTCACATACAAAAATTTTAACATATGAAAGACCCTTATCAACTAAAATCAATATTATTTTTTCTTGGCAAGAAAAAGAGGTCTGGGTAGGAGCTGCTGCTGCTATCTACATGAAGATTTTTTTATATGAGAAAAGGAAAGGGAAATTACAGTAGCAAAAGTGTAAAACTCCCATTGCTATGCAGTGAACTTCTTGACCCAAGTTCCTAATAACATCTTAAAATTAGAGCTTTGAGCCCAACTTAATCCCTCAGTCAATTTTGTAAAGTGAGGGCTACTCAAGGCTCAAAGGCAATAATGTGGGTGAAATAACAAGAATCTCTACCCTTTCCTAATGCACCGGAATATCAGGGAACCTAGTTCCATAACAGAAATAGAATAGTCTCGGATACTATCTTTAAATTTGACTTGGGGCATAACTCAATCCCACAACCAAATTTTAAGGTGAATAATGTCCAAGCCTTATAACCATTACTTATGCCTTAACTGTAGGACTTCGACATGTTTGTATTTGCAGAACCCATCTCAAAGCCACGCCAAACTTATATTCTTCTACTGATTTGATTGGGTCAAAATATTATTGTGAACATTTTTTAAGGAAGAAACTCATTTGAACAAAACAATCAGATTTGATTACAATGGTTATGTATGTGCCCTGTGTAACCGACACTTGTTCTTCCAAAAGTCTAGCTGGCTTTAAATAGAAATATTTGGGGTTCTTTTCTTTTTCTTATTGACAAAGAGTATGAAGAACTGTTGTATAGGTTGTTTGGGTGAGGGTGAATTCATATGATAAGCTTAGATACGACAGTTTTGATGAACCATGGATGTTTTCTTAGTCTCCCAACAATCTTTTCATGCATGTTTTGATAGACTAAAGATCTCATGTAGGTATACCTGGATGTGTCTGCTATTGGAATGCTTCTCTTAGGAGGAGCGCTGGCATGTTATGGTGAGCAACTGTTATTCTAGCTGTTTTCCATTCTAAGCTAAGTAGGTTTGAAGTTGATTGTTTTCTTTTGCTTGAGAGGGTGTATTAATCTGTGTGTTTTTATGTAAATGCATGAGCATGAATCAATTCATGAACCTCTATATTTCAGCTGATTATCACGGTTAATGTTAAGGGCCTGTTTGTTAAGGATTATAAAAAAAAGTGATTTTGATGCTCACTTATTGAGGAATTTTTAGATTTTTTATATAAAAAAAAACTGTTGCGATTGTTTATCTATACAAAAATCACATTTTTAAAATTACTTGGATATAAAAAATAATTTTTATGAGAAGGTATTCAAAACAACTTCTCAATTCTCATTTGAAGCGGTTTTAAAATTATTTTCAGATTCTAATTTTTTAAAGAATTTGTGGCAAACAAATGAAAACTTTCAAAAGGGATTATATTTTTATAAAAAATAACTTGTTACAAAATGAGCTAAATGGGCTCCAAATCAGATGAATTTTAGATTATACACAATACATGTGGCATATGAACATCATGCATTATCATATTCTGCTGTTATAATTTGGTTATCTTTCCTTGTTGTTTATCAAAGCAAAAATATGAGACAAAAGTTGTTATAAAAAAGAGATTGCTTATATGGTACTGCCTCCGTCTCATTTTAAGTTTCCCCTTTGAGTTTTGCACATTTGTTAAAATAGTGATTACTTAATTTCCACATTTATCGGTAAGTTAGTGGATACATTGCACCAATAACATAATTTTTAAAAGAATAAAATTAATTTGCACAAGCTTTGGATGGGTTTATAATCTAAATAAATGCAATTCAATAATTTTTATTAGTTGTAATGTTAATCACTAGTGAGTACTGAGTAGTGAGATGCCTGGTTTTTTAGACATAGATTTTCATTATGATTTTTGCGGCGTGATTCCTTTGCAGGAATCCTATTATGCTTGAAGATGAGAAAAGTGAGAGCTGAGAAACCTTCATCTGAAATGGGGAAGGTACTAGATTTCTGTTTGAACTTTTTTAATTTTTAGGGGCATGTGATATTCTTGTTGTCGAAAGCCCCTCATGGCTGCCTGCACTTTATCTACATTTCTATCCGATGCATACTTTAGATGCTTATTTTAAATAACTGCATGTCTATAGAGACAGCGGCACAGACTTGTGCTTGTGTATAAATTATTGAAAGTATTCTATTTTATCAGGTTGCAGGTTTAACTATGGTCTCTGTACTATGCTTCACATCAAGTTCCTGTGTAGAACTTCTTACGGACATTCCTGTACGTATAAGTTAACTGTTTGCAAGAGTTTTCTTATTCTTGATAAAACAGTTAAAATTTCATAAACTAGCCATCACTATTATTTTACTATTATTGCAGATGATGTTTCACTGGCATCAGCAGCGCATGGATGATGTTTATTCCTCTCTACTACTGATTTTGTATTTTTTTGTGGGTATGTGCTGTTAACAATATAGTTATTGTCTCATACTTCAGTTGCTGGAATCTTTTATTCTTTCCTTTTATGAGTAATGAGAGTAATGACTGTCTTTGGATAAAGTTATACCTGGCCTGCTGCCTATAATACTTTATTGACGTTTTCCATTCAAATTATATTTGAGTGCTTTTTGAAACAGTTCACTCTCCTTAACTCTGAAGCTCACACTGTTTCCAGGTTCATCAATACCTTCAGCAGTGGTGATGTGGGTAATGAGAGAATTACCACCTGCAGAAGATACTGGATCACTAGAAGAATCAAGTATAATTGCTTTTGTTGCTAATAGTTCAGTTGATGTTCATCATCCTCAGCGCTGGACTACTGCAACAAGCACACAAAATCAGGTCCCTGTATCAAGCACCCTGTCCTTTGGTTAAATTACCTTGGCAGTATTCAGTTGATTCTGAATTTTCTTTTTCATTATCTTGTGTCCTTTATCAGTAGAAAAATAATTTTTTACATGGATTGCTCTTGACGGTTGAGGCTTTAAGATTCAAATTCATCATTGTTTCTGACAAGTGTCATCACACAAGTCACAAGGTGAAGTTGAATGTCGATCGAGCATATACAGAAATAATACATCTAGTTATGCTTTTGTCTTACCTCAATGGTTTTTATTGGTGCCATTCTTTATCTTTATATCATATCTTGTACCCTTTCACTCACTCTTTGAACTAGTTTCCCTAGAGTTAGTTTAACTCAGGCATGTCTTTTCTTTTCTACTTTGTTGTTGTGTTTGTAACTTTGCTGAAGATTAACCTACATAAAGAATTGTGTAGTGACTTAAGTGCTGTCTTTTTTGCAGACATCAAGAGCTAGTCCTATATGAGTTGATCTTTGCATGTATATCTTCTAGTTCTGCCGGATTTAGGGCACAGCTAATTGGAGTTTGTTGGGAATATTTTGAACCGTAAAGCGACGATAAAAGAGAAAAAAGAAAAAAATGGTGACGGTGGATGCAAGCACTTTCCAATCCCAATGTACTTGAGTTTTAAATCTAACTGTATATAGCTGCGATTTGATATATGAAAATTTGTTTAGAGCTATACAAGTTTTGGGAAGCAGTTGTGGTTTGGAATCAAAAAACATTTGCTTGATGTGAATATAAATGTTGCCCAGCGAGCGTGTTCTTCCAACCTGCTTGCAAACTTAATCAATATATCTTGTTTCAAGTTTCTTCTACCCATATGGCATGACTTGATCGTTTGGTATTTACGGCTTTTTTTATAAAAAAACTGAAGTTTAAATCTGATACAATATAATTAAAATTTTGACATTTTATAATTTCGATGTTATTTTTATAGGTTTTTAGGAAATGTATAAAACTATTTTGATTTAAAAAATTTTTTCAATTTTTTAAATCAAATATCAATTTTTGTAAGTTGCTAAAAAACAAATTTCTATTTTTGTTTTTATATTTTTTTTTTAAGATCTGTATATTTACTCAATGGTTTTTTAAAAATGCTTTTTAAATTAAAAAAAAAAACACAACAAAAGACTCATTATATTTAAAAAAAAACTATATAATTAGTAAAACTTAATATTAGAGTTTGAATGACATTATTGAAAAGTCATACTTATAAGTGGGAGATATTTCTTGCTTCATAAACAAATTTGACGCATATATATCAAATACAATTAATATAATAAATCAAACCTAACATGTGATAGGTTAAACTGATATATTCTGCACATGGTTACTGAAATTGTGAAATTAAATTAGGTTGAGTTTTTGGCCCCTAATTATTAGTAATTCGATTACTTGGTTTTTGTTTAACTTTACTAAAATTTCATATTTATGTTATCATGCACCTGGACAAAAGAGAAGAAAAGGAAAAGAAAATACTTATCTAAGTTTAGCATTCATTTCAGGGCACCAAAGGTTATACACCGTGGGGCCTAAACTAGCATAAAGTTATAACGCCACTGAAAATAAAAAGGTTCAGTGGTGCGCCACTAACTGCAATATTGGGAGCCAGTGGTGCACATTAATGCATACACGACAGTTATCTGTGTTACTTGAAACAACTTTTGTACATTTCAATGAAGGTTGACCAGAACAATTATAGAGAAAATCTACCCATCAGAGATTCAAACAGCCCCTGTTTCATAAAGCATGCATTCTTCCCAGAAAAGAATTCTTAGCATAACACATAACAGCATCATGCAAATTCGTATCCAAGGTTATTTACTTATAAATTACACTCACAATATAACCATACATAATAAACATTATTTTTAGGAAAGAACGGTTAATCCCAACAATTCATACAGAAAATAGAAAATAAATAAACAAGCACCAAGTAGAAGTACAACTATTACATTATTTTCTTACATGACCAGAATAAGTAAAATGTCAGTTTAATTTATTACTTTGCAAGGCATCTTCACTCGAATCGTAACGAGGAAGGTCAGCAAATGGCTTTCCACTGCAGTGTATTGTCCAACTAACATTTTCATTGTCCAACTCCAAATTGTTCCACTTCAACCTTGAGAGACTTGAGGTATTTTACAGCTTCGTCCAAAACAGTGATGGTATCCATTTCGTTGCCACTGCCAGGCACGATATTTCTCAATATTTTCACCATCCTCTTCATCTCCCGGTGTTGTTTCTTTTCACTGCTGCTGCAGTAACCTTTGGTACCCGAGGAGTTTTGTACAGAAGATGATAACAACCTCTTCTTCCTTGATTTTGTGCAATAGCTCGAGCAAGTATCAGATGTACTTTCATCCTTTTCATGATGAGTCCTTGCTGTGCTAACTTCTTCTTCATCATAGTCTTCTAACTCATCTGAGTCTAGGCTCATCAACGCATCAATGTCCCTAGAGTCCTCTTCAAAAGAAGAGGACAATTCCCTTTCCATTTGATTAATTTTGTCTTTTTCAAAATCTTGAGTGTATGCATGAGTGTTGAAGTTGAAGCTAGGACTGTTAAATTTGTAGGTCGTCGCAGGGTTGAACAAAACCCTGTTTTGTTGATTGGTTTGATCGAAGACAATGAAATTCTCGGGGCAAACCTCAGAGGGATGCAAGTTAAACCTTTCAAAGGGCGTTATCTGCCTTGCACCTGTAGGTAAAACTGCACCAAATGCAGAAGTATGTGGAGCATTCATATAAGTACCAATGGCTTCATCTACCAAAGGAAGTTTCACCTTTCCCCGATGAAAATACTCGTGAGTCTGCATTATAATATCTAATTCACTCACTAAATTACGTGGAAGCAATGCTGATCTGGCCTATGCAACTGGAAATTATTTTGATCTAAAGCTGGATGGATGTTCGTACAGGATGTAACAACTTAACAGCAGGAGGTAAGTTTATTCCAATTCCATCTAATAAAAAATGGTAACTTTTACAAATTAAAACTTTGTCTTTTCGGACAGCCTTCTAATGATGCAGTTCAATATAAGGCAATCTCTACCCAAGTAAACGTTCTTTGAAGCTAGACTACGTAACAGGTTTAAGCAACTGACGAAAATATTCAGCCTGCACGAGAAAGCAGTATGATATATATAATTCAGAGAAAAAAGAGACAACAACTTTCAGGTAACATCGGAGGAAATATGCAAAATTCAACCGATGTTTAAACCCCAAACCACTCTCCATAGCAACCCAAAAAAGGGAAGAAATATTTACCTGACAAACCAACATCAATTGACTGTATGCAATAACTCCAACACTCATTTTAATGTAGTCAACTTTCGCAAAGAACATTCTCAACCCTCCCAGTAGTTTTGGTAATAAAAAGGAGAAAACACTAATCAGAGGAGTTCCTCTGCAGCTTAATCACCTGCAGCAGCAAGAAAGGATACATAGATCATCAGATCAGAGGAAATAAGAAGCAATGTACAGCATAAAATGTTCACCAATATAAACACTAACGTAGCTATAGGTACTGTACTGTTTCTATGTTTATGCAATACAATTAGAAGCTACTGCATGATATTCCCAAATCAATCCAAAACAATTATACTGACTTCATGATTTCTGCTTTCCTCGGCTAGCAACAGAAAAAGTTATAAATAAATTCTATAAACTATATCAAAAAATTAGCAGGACAAAATATTTACCTCAGATGATTAAATTACAGAATCACGCGAAAAAACACCACCAAGCAAACACAACTTCTCTTGAAAAGAGAAAACCACGGCATCTTGATTCAGCTCAACTTCAGAATATCATATAAGATAAACCCAAAGCTCTGACCTGAAAGTATCAAAATCAAAATTAGGATTCTATTAAAATGCCAAATCAACTATCCATAACAGATGACCTACAGACTAAAGAGTACCTCACTCCAATCTAGCTCTCAAATCAAAATCAAATCCAAAATCAATTTACCAAGTGGAAAAATAAAAAAGAATCAGTTTTTAACCCAGTTCAAATTTAACAAGGCATTTTCATATCAACACATAAAAAAAACCTGAATCTAATCCCAAAAACAATCCATTATTCAACTTACATACCCACTAAAATTAGACTTTACAGTCAACTAAAGCATAAAGTTCCAAACTTTGAATCAAAACCAGAAACAGTACCAAATCAGATAGTAAATTTCAACAGAAAAAAATTACCAGCAAATAAAATAGAAACTTTAACTAAAATTACTAAAAAAAATTGTTTTTCAAATTTGATAGATTTAAAAAGAGAAATTGAAGAGAGCGGATCAGAGTGAGAAAGTTAGACCTGAGATTTGTGCAGAAGATGAAGAGGATTTGGGAGGAAATTGAGGGTGGATCGGAGAAGGGTTGTGTTGAGATGAAAATGAGTAGAAGAATTTGTTTGCGGAGAAGAGTTTTGAGATTGGGAATGGAGCAATTTCTCTTTCAAGATATGAAGGCGTGATGGGATGGGTCAAAGATGGATGATCTGAGCCGTTGGATTGGATCCAAATTGTTCTTGGAAATGCACTTCCGTTTATCGCGGGCGTGATGGGGACCGTTCGATTAGAGCACGCGTGAAGAGGGATGGTGCCCGTGAGGTTGACAAATTGAACAATTATAAGAATAGGAAACTCAATTATTTTTTATGTTTAGGTCACTTTTTTATTTTTGTCTCGTTGATTTGTTTATGAAAAATGCTAACAAATGTTTTTAAGATATTGTTTAAAATATGATACAATTTAATTTAGGTTTAGTTTGTTACTATTAATAATATAAGTATGCAGTTAGTTTACGCAATAATACAATTTACTTTTCATTTTTCACATTTTCTCTAAGGGTATGTTTGGTTCAAATGAGGGGGAGGGGAGGGGAGGGATTTTAATGAAGGGGAGGGGAGGGGATGGGAGGTGAGGGATTTTTTTAATCAAATAAGTGTTTGGTTCAAAATAGAGGAGGGGAGGGGAGAGGAGGGATTTTAATTAAAAATGTGTTTGGTTCAGAAGGGGAGGGGAGGGGTTTTATTAATAATTTACAATTTTATCCTTATGATCTTATATAAGTCATATGATATTAAAATGTGAAAAATTCATCCACGTTTTTGTTGGTAATAAAATTTCTAATATTGAGTGATTAAAAAATTATTTATTTGTCACAAAAGAAAATATGATAGAATACCTAACAAAATAAGTATTTATTTTGTTGGTTTACAATTTGATATAAAAGAAAATATTATAGAATACCTAACAAAATAAAAAGAAAAAAATGAATATAACTAAACAAAAATTTTTTTTATAAAAAAAGGACAATGATAATTTATATTAAGTATAAAAATTATAAAATAATTTGAAGGTGGAGAATTATAATAAGTTGATGGAAACAATTGAGAAAAAACAGTCACACGAAAGAAAATAAATAGTTTTGAAATACTGAAATTAAATTGAGGATA